TCCTGTGGACAAATAAACAAAAGATGCTTTATCTTTGCATTTTTAAAATCTCAACAATCTGCTCTAAATGTCAGGCAGATTCAACCTGTGTGAAATATGTGCAAAAAAAATTTGCAGGCACTGGTTTAGGGTCTTGCATTAGCTGGATTCTGAACTTGGCTATTCTTAAATCTGCAATTACATGCTTAATCAAATCTAAATACTTTCAACAAGAAAAAAGGGAGAGTTCTGAAGTAAAGTAAGAGGTTCAGGCACCAACCCTGCCCCCAAAATTGCAGATGTGAGGCCCCATAGCCCCAGTCCTGTTTGGAGTATCTGGCTGGGAGCTCCAGTAATGGGGCTCTGCATAAAGTGCTTGCTTGACTGCTGTGCCCTCACACTGCCTGTCATTGAACCACACACACTAAAATTAACACCAGCTGTGGGGCTACATCCCGTGACCAGCTTCTAAAAATCTGAAAAGGTAAAACAGCATCAGGGATGTGGGGTAGTCAGGCTCAAGTGTGAGCCAAGCAGAGGCAGCCACGTACTGGATAACAACATTTCTGGAAAAGTGACTAAAAAGAGTGCTGCAAATCCTGCAGTAGGAGAATTTGTAATAAAACCCAAACTAACCCCCCGCACCTACCAAGAACCTTGTCTTACGGACCCCAGTAGAAAACACAGCCTCAGCTCTCAGAAAAGACTTGCAACAGAGAGATCAGGCACTTGGCAGTCATAGGCAGTCGTGAGCGAGAAACTGAACAAAGAAACCCAAACCCAATCTTAATAGTTACACACTATATTCTCTGTAGTTACGTTACAGACTTTCAAACAAAGCTGGCAGAGGACATTCCAGATGGATAAGAAACGTATTCATTCATATACAAAACAATCTGTGTCATGTTCCATCCCCATAAAACAGCAGCTAAATAATCTACAATGAACCAAATGTAACAAGTGACTGTATCACTTCTATGGTAAAGAGTGCAGAGTCATCACGGAAAGTTAAAGGTATAAACAGCAAAACATTCAAGCTTGTTACAGAAATAGCTAAAGTGCAGTTACCAGGAGGGCGGTTGACATAATACTATGGGATTCTGTGCTTAATCTTTTGTTATTCTCTTTCCACATAAGATTTCTTAATCTCCTTCTGGCTTTTCGCTTCTCATGGGCAATAAAGACTCCATCATTTATCCCTCTTCATACTAAAGTCTCACAGTTAAACAGTACTTTGCAGTTAAAGCCTCCCACCACCTACTTATAAAGTGTAGATGGGGGTTCTTTAAAGTAAACTGTTTCACCTGAATTTAATTTAAATTATGGGGCACACATTCCACCAAAATGAAGGTGTGCTCCTGGATTCTGAGGTCTACTGAAGAAAATAGCAGTGAGGCTTTGTTACAGCTCATCTCTGACTGAGAAATGTTGTATTGAACTGTTTCACCACCTGCTATCAAGTGCCAAAAATATACCCAGAGAGAGAAACAGGTTTAAAAAAACCCAGTATTATCGAAATTCTTGAATTCAGACTAAACAAGGTGGTAGTGACTGAGAGAAACATTAGTGATACTGGGAGGATTTTCTGTTGCTGAGAGTTTCACATGGAAGAGTCAGCTGAAAAACTCATTCAGGTGTTTGAAACCAAGTGTTAGAAGCAAATGCACTACAGCCAAAACAATCAACTGCATTTCAAATCATACAGTTTTGCTTCAGCCAAACATGACAGGCCCAGGGATGAACACAGCACAATATTAGATTAAAAGAGAATTAAAACTAATTATAAAACAGTATTTTCCATCACATCTCTCCCAAAATCACGTAAAATAAGTCATACTGTTTGCATCTTAACTTTAAATGTAACTTAACTGCCAAAAAGGTTTCATGTCACCTGTCTGAGTTAAAGTTGTCCTACTCGTATCTCCTCCTAAAGCAGCCAGCACACAGATGAAGAGCAGACTGAGCACAACCTAAAAGCGACAGACACCGAACAAGTCAAGATGTTTACGGAGAGTGAACAGTCAGCCACGGATCAGGACAATACTGTTGCCAATGGTCTAAGTCGGGCTGCTCTAACGTCTGCACAGTCAGGCAGATATAATTAAGGGCACAGGTATTGTATAATACACAACAGAGGTAGATTGGCAAGCGATAGACTGCATATTCCAATTCCGACTATAGGGTAGTCTTCTAAACACTTGTGGGTAGCACATCTTCCCTGTGTGGAAAGAAAAGCCATGAAAATGAAGTCCCGAGATGACTAATACTGCTAGCCAACAACACTGCCTTCAAAACACGGATGAGATTCCTCCTGATGGCAGGTTTCTGTTTATTATGTATTATCTTCAGTTCTAGACAACGTACGTCTTGAGCTGTATCCAGAAAATCTAGATTCCCGGCATAAGGTATGGTGTTGACCTGTACTGGGAGAGTAATTTTGAGGTTTTCAGTTCACAGTCTGTAGAACCACTTGCTGCTGTTCCGTGCCAAGCCGATGGTCATAAGGTGGCAGATTTCCTGGATCTTCATAGATGTTAAAGAATAAAAGAGTTCATTGCTATCAAGTCTGTCCAACGCATTCTGTAGGATTCATACTAAACGACACCTGCTACTTCCATAATTCCCTTTAAAGCAGCTGCTGTCTGAATCCTACTCGAAAAATAGCATCAAAAGATGACCCACCTTATAAGATGTAGCGCAAGAAAAGTTTGGGATACGCTGC